ACGTTGAATTCTTCTGAGTATGTTTTCTTGAATTACTTGGAAGCAACCAGGAACTTAACATTTTTGTAGAAATATAAATAATAGAAGGCATAATCTATTTTGACTCAAGTGATTTTAAATCTTTTATACTCCTTCCCAGTGTAAAATTATAAAACTAAGACACTCTTGGATTTTTCACCTTTGCATTTTTAAAATGCTTCAGTAACTAATAATGGTGGATTTCTGGCACTCATTTAATACTTTTGTTTTTCTTTCTTCAAGGACAATAATGTAGTGTGACTGTTCAGATGTTATTATCCATGACATGTTTAGCATTTATTTCTTGTCACCCCTTAGCCTGGCAGATAGAAAGGCAACCTAAAAGCCTTCGTTGTTTCCCATTTTTGGCTATTCTTTCATTCTGCTGAGTATTAATAATTTAATGATCTGAACTGTATGCACTTTTTCCCATACTCACAAATCCTCATAAAAGTGATATAAATATTAATGAGAAAGATAAGCATTTATACTTTTTTCATTTGATTTCGTTTAAGCTTTTTACTTGTTGAAGACATCAGTCTTTATTTGTTAAATATCAGTGTGTGGTTTCGAAGAATTAACAGAAAAGAGTTGTCACTATAGCTAAGAACAGTCAGTACTTTTCATTGTGAAATTTACTTGTCGGTTAAAATTTTTTTTCCCTTCAAAATTTCTTTCTAGATGTTCTTTGAAGATCACATTGATGATGCCAAATACTGTGGTCATTTGTATGGCCTTGGTTCTGGTTCATCCTATGTACAGAATGGCACAGGGAATGCATATGAAGAGGAAGCCAACAAGCAGTCATGACATGAAATAATTCTTTTATTTTTATTTTATTTGAGCTACACACATGCTTGTATATAGGTTTTATCTCTGGTTGAATTCCTTAACGATATACAATATCTTTTCTCCCCCTTTCATAGCACATTTTATTTTCTGCCTTTCAGTACTAAGTATGACTGATTCTATCTCAGAACTTAATGAATAGAAGTACATTCAGGTTAAATTTGGCCTTAATTTAATATATGTGTTAGAAAGTATGTGTGACAGAGTGGGGAAATCATCATACTAAATAATTTGATAAACTGCCTACTTGAGCTTGTCCCCTTCCCCCATTCCTAAATTAATTAGTATCGCCTGTAATTTATTTCCCTGTTTCATGTCTTTCCCTTCCATTCTGCAGGAGTTTTTAAGTATTTGAAAATATGGACCATCAATTTTGCACTTTAGAGAGTGATTCCAATCCTCTGTTTTATCAGAAATTGTGGTTTTTCTTGCTCTTAGCTAGGAAAATGACCATCTGCCAATTTTATACAGTATTTGCTTGTTTTTGACCTACAGAATATAGCACTTGTGCAAACGGTTGATTCAGCAAGATTAACAACAACCAAAAGACAAGGAACTACTGAGGAGCTTAGTGACTACTGTCTATGTATGTAGTGTTTAATCTTCCAAGCACATCTCATGTCTGTCATTTCTAATTGGCATGTGTAGGCTGCTTTGTGACTGAAGAACTTTCAAACCAGCTTTACACCCTTCAGGAAAAGGCCCTTGTGATTGGACATTTAGTATCTACCAGGAAACTGGCATTCAAGATGTTGAAGCTACAGTTATTTTATGATACTACATTTCCTTTATTCGGTTTCTTTATTCTATAACTGCTTACCTTCATTATCTTTTTTTATTTTATAGCCATACTTATAATGTTCTTGATTTGTTGATTATACAAATCAATTTCATTGAAGTCCAAAGATAACAAGTTTTTAGGTATATTTTATATCAAATTTATCAAATTAAGAGTCAAAATTTGTGCTTTCATAGCTACAAAAATAATGGAGAGATTTGGTGCAAAACAACAAAATACAATATATATATATACATACACTTATATAGCTAATAGTTACCTGAGGAGTGTAATGCTTGTTTATTTTTTTGTGTATATCTTTACAATCTATTTTATATATATTGACAAAAGACTGTGAAATATTTAGCCAGGCAGAATATGTGACCAGGCCAGAGCATGTGTAGGAAGACTTTATGATAATCATTAAGTCTACCTTGAAGTGATGGACTACAAGTCATAATGTGTTATCTACACTTCAATCAGTAATATTAGTAATATTAGCAAATCTCCAGATGTTAGCAAGATTAGTTTGTTTCCCTTGTACATTCTTTATTATATTCATGATATTACAATGCTGTACTGGGTGGTCCTTTTTAAACAGAACATTATTTGAAAAAACAGAGGGTATTTGTTTTTAAAGCTTTTGTAAATAAAGGCTTCAGAAATGTTTTCTTATATGTTGGCTGGTGATTTTTCTTTTAGAAATATTAGAAGAATATGAAATACTTGTATTTGATCAACAAAACAACTCAGTAACTTCATGAATGGTTGGGGGTTAAGAATTTCTGTACTTTCTGCATTTCAACGATGATGGTTTATTTTTGTTTATGAGGACTAAGATAGATTACAAACCACATTGCCAGCACACTGGGCAGTGGAAGCAGTAAAATCTCAAGTTCATGCTCAACCTGAGCTACATAGACACCAAGGGATAGGAGTATAGAGTGGTAGAGCATTTGCCTGGCCTACCATTTGCCTTCAAGGCCTTGAATTTAATCTTAATAGCCCATACCACAACAGAAGAAAGAGAAAGGGGCTGGGAAGGTGGCTCCGTGGTAGAGCGCTTGCCTTGCATGCTTGAGGCCCTGGGTTTGATTCCTCAGCACCACATAAGCAAAAGAAAAAAAAAGCCGGAAGTGGCACTGTGGCTCCAGTGGTAGAGCACTAGCCTTGAGCTGAAGAGCTGAGGGACAGCGCCCAGGCCCAGAGTTCAGGCCCCACGACCGGACCCCCCCCCCCAAAAAAAAAAAAGTTACATTTCTCCTTTCTATAAATGCATTTATTCTAAGACTTATAAAGTAATAGATATATTTGGGGTAACTTACTGTGGCTTTTAAACTACATGAAAAAGCCAAGTTTATTTTCATTTTCATCCTAAGAAATTAGAATTATAGTTTGTCTTTATAATAGCCACAGTTGATTTTCATAACTTGTATCAGTTTTGGTTTCTGTCCTAAAAGTGACATTTTATGACATTCAGGGACATAATAAGTTCTCAGTTTTGGATGTATTTGTTTCTGAGCCATTCATCTGCACCAGTTAAATCCAGTAAGAGTGAGACTGTGGCCTATAGGAATGGTGTGCTTTTAGGTATATTGAGGCAGGATTATTTTCTTTTTCCTTAAGGATAATCCTGAGATGCCCCCAGGTGTTTTTCCTGTGTCCTAATGCAAAGTACTTGGCTTTTTTAAGAAAATGACTCTGCCTTTTACCTAAAGTGTATTTTTAAAGCATTTCAACACATTTACATATGATTCCAAAATCAGTGTTAGAGGCTTTTTTTTCTAAATATTCACTTTCACACAGTAAATGTATGATTAGGACAAGATGTTATAGGTATATTTTAAGAGACCCATACACATTGACAAAAAAAACCAAACCATGTAGCACAATCCAGAGCTCAAAATCACTTCGACTTCACTAATGAAATCTAATTGATACTAGTTGAAATAAGCCAACTAGAAGATAGTCTTAAACATTTCCTTCCACTTATACATGATTACTGATTGCTGGCTGTGGGTAAGAATATCAGAGCTCCCTGGACACTTGTTGCCAGTTTTGTTTCTGCTTTCACTGTTTGGTGAGAAAGGACTGCAAGTGATTTGTCTGTATTAATGCTGTCCAGATTATCATATTTGCTTGCATAAGAGGATAGAGGTTGTGAGCTATTAATCACTTATTCTGACATTTTCAGGGGACTTTAAGAAAGGAAAAAACATACTTGTCTCAGAGCTTCCTGTGAAACTGAAAACTTCCAGAAAGATTTCTATATTCATGCCTACAGGCATTCCTTTGAGATGACCTGAATTCACTTCTTACGGTGAGGTCCACTATTAGCCAGGTCACACTATAAAAGACTAGGTCTGTCATTGAAGAGAAAATTCTGGTAAGTGTGCAGTTTGCACATTTTGCTGTGTTCTGTAACAATTATATCCTTCAGTTTGTTTAATTGTAAGGATACTTATAATAGCATCCTTACTAATAATGGTACATGGGATCGAATTGCTAAAATTTCAATAAAATAGAGTGAATCAAGGGAAGGACAAAATAAATTTTTGTAAATGTGTTAAACACCTCAAGTAAATGTCTCCCTCTTCCTTGTGGAGGAAATGCCTGCTAAATGGGTTGACTATGGGGAGGGAAAGGATACCAGGCTGCTAAAAGTTTGGAATTAAGCTAGACATTTTTCTACTTAGTTAAGAACCAATTTCCATAGGAAGATCTTACTGAGAGACATGTTATTTGTGAAAAAGCCATTGTTAAAATATATCACTGTGGACAAAGTCTTAGTTAGAATAAGCATCTGGGTAGATGAGTAATAAGGTACTGAGAAAACCATCATGACTTACACTGTAAGTTGTGGTCTGTTTATATGTTTATGGGTTTAGAAAAAACATTTCATAATTTTCTCAGTATTTGGTAAATATATGCAAGTTTATAACTTCAAAATCAGTGCAACAAGTTTTTATTTTTTCAAAAAACCATGATTCTTGCTGAGTTTCATAAACCTTTTGTTTGATTACCTAAGTGAAGGTAGTTTTTTGTGAAATGTGTGCCGTATTAATAATACATGTATATTGATTACAGTGTTTTATACTCTTTAAAGTTTTTTTAATTCAAAATTGACCCTAAGCAATACTTATCTTACAAAGGAAAAACAAAATATAACAGTTATATGAAAGCTAAATTCATGGGCAAACAATATCTGAATCCCATCTTTACAGTCTATTTTTAATTGTCAGAACCGCTAACAACAAGTAATACATAATCTTAATTCTTAGTTCCTCCCATAGAGAGGCATGGTATGACTACAAACTTCGATAGGTTATTAGGAAAAGCATATCTTAGTTGTCAGTGCAGGCAAAATTTCAGATAGCTAATGATAAGAGTAAAGGTGAGGAGCAAATTCATGAGTATGAACTTCTTGAATGCTTCATCATCATACTCCAATATTCTTTATCACTGAAGAAATTATCTCCCCTAGCAAACCTTAGCACATGCAAATGAAACATCTGTTTAGTATTTTAAAATGAAAAATGTCAAGTCAGGAGAAATACAACAACATTTTAAAGGAGAATCAAGATAAGGAGTGTTTTCAGGCTTGATTTAAGCCATTCCATCTTTTAAATAAAGATACTTAAAACGTTTGTAGGGTAAATTTTGAAAAATGTATGAAATGTAGATATATTTATGTGGTGCTTTGTTCACTCAGGCAAAGTTATACTGAATATGTAATACTTCATGAGCTCTTCAGTTACCTCCAAATTCAAACATCGCCTACAATTAAGAACAAACCTGGACAAAAGACCCTTTAAAGGGCAATTCACTACATAAAAACAGAAAGGGAACCATTAGAAGTTAATGGAAAAAAAGTTTATTTTTTTTAAAACTTATCCAAATCTAACGTATACCCCAAAGACTTGGAGGAAGAGTTAACAGTATTCTAGCAGGGTAAATGATAAAAATCCCTCCCTTCCCCCCTAGCTTCCTTTGGACAAGAAATATTTAACAGAATGTCAAAGAAAACAGCTGCAGTACTGCTGTGCTTCCCCAAACACTTGGCTGCACATAATTCTTAATATAGCATATGTGGCTACTGCCCCTTAGGACTAATAGCAAGAGTTAGAGGGTCTAGTCTGGCACTTCAGGTAATGACAAATGACCAAAAACTTTCAAGATAAAAGTAAAACTATATCTTTAAGATTTTTTAAAGCAGATTGTCAGATCAAACACTTGAATAAGAAAAAAAGTGCAAATAATGGCCATTCTAGAGTTTAAACAATTGCACTGAAATGAACTGTAAAATGGACTCAGCTGGAATAAACATATTTAATATAAAACTATATATTTTTTAAAAGCACAGATTAGCAATTGCATGGATCTTTTACTTCCTGATCTAGCTTATGGTGTGTTGAACATATTTACACCAATTACTTAGCTGTTTTTAATAGGTACATTCTCAAAATCACTACCAAAGAAATTATATACCTTATTATTCTAGTTGTTAGCATTTACAAAACTTAAGAGCCATTCAAGTGTTGTTTTTTTACGTGAGATTTTTTTTTAAATAGTGCATACAAGGCACAGGAGCTTCTGAATATGTTTATTGAAGCCAAACATTTTGGCATCAACAGACACATCATGTTAGCTTATCTTAAACTAATTTCCAGACAGCACACCATTTAGTTCATATTGAACTAAATTTCCAAAAGTGTATGGTTTTGTTTAATGATTTGTATAATTTAATCCTGATATGAATTTAAAGAAAAATACAGATTGTTATATTTTAGGAAGATATAGAAATAATATAGACATCACTGGAGAAATAATCTATTGATCTCTAAGGAATTCTCAACAACGATTAAATACATCTATCCAATAAAAGAAATAACCTGAAGAAGAGATTTTATAAAAGCCAAACAAAAGAATATTGTAATTCAGTCTTCATAATTGTTATAATAGATTTCTTGCCCCACCAATTTAAGATTAGAAGAGATGAAAATATATTTCTGATATAATAGAATTCTTTTGTCAGAACATTCTTAGTTCTGAGAAAAGTTTTCTAGGTAATTGCTTTGAATAGTAAGCTCAAGTTTCAATGCTTACTTTCCAGAAAGGAGAAGTGATTCAAATTTTAATTAACATCTGGCAAAAATGGATGGCCATATTCACTTTGCTAGAACTCTCTCAGTCTGAGGCTTAGATTCACATAGAGGGAAAAATCAATGTTAAGTCTGATTTTTACCTTCTCTTTAAAGGTAGTGAATAAATTTCACAAATTAAGCTTAAAATTATAATGTAACTTGAATGTATCAATTTTTGTCCATTAGCCCACACTTTCTGAATCAGAAAACCCAAATAGCTAATGGGATTTTTATGGGATTAAGCTCGTAAAAACTGACCTATGAATTTATCCCCAGTTTTTAATAGATGATGTTTCCCCTTTGATAACTAAACCACAATTACTTTTAATACATAATAGGAATTGTGTAACAATGTATATATATTGGATCAAAACATGTTATGCTTTATGTAGCCCAGTTGTACAGTGCTTGCAAGCACAAAGCTCTGGGTTAGATTTCCCAGTATGGAAGAAACAAAAATAAATGAACAAAAAAATCTGCCCCAAAGTATAATACAATCACAAGTGGCAGATGGTGCCTTCCTGTGAGAAGCCTCTTTCATCCTTCTGTATCATTAGTACCTTTAAACAAAACAGAAAACATGAAACTATTGTGTTAACCATTTTTAAAAAAGCAACATAAGCAATGTACTCACTAATTGTCACAATAACATACATCCTGTGTTCAAATTGTTTTCTATGGTACAAGGCTCAGTAGGTATGTTCTTGAGTAAAATCTTCCATACTAATGGTTCTCAATGTTCAGAAAAACATGAAGACTTTATTGATTGGTTTGTTTCAATGTAGACTCCAGTAAGTCTAGAGTAGGGTCCAAGAGTCCTTCTATAAAGCTTAGGAATGTTGCTGGTTTAATACTACAATCTTAAGTGGCAGGCTGTCACGTTGGTGCATTTCTCTGTAGCTAACTGGAGTTGGGAATGGCAAGATCTGGCTGAGAAATTTAAGAAAATACACATATGCATAAATACTTTTATTGTATTTGTATTGTATGACAGTGAATGTTGGGTAAGCTAAATATGAAGTTTTTAACATAGATTTGGGTACACTGTAACAATATGGAAACTGTACTGAACTAAGAAATATTTTATTAGAAGGGCACAGATCAGACTGGGGGTATAGCTCAATGGTACATGACCTGTCTAGCATGCAGGAGACTAGGTTCAATCCCTAGCAAGCTCCTCACCAATATAGCTGCAGATGATTTATTGGTGTAGTTCAAAAAGAATATGAAGGTACTGTTTGGTAAGTAGGCCATCAATCACAGACGACATCCAGTCTATGTGTGTGTGTGTATTAAATGAACTGCAAATCTGAAGTATAATGAAAAATATCATTTTCTTTTTGAGAGTACTGAGGTTTGAACCTGCAGGGCTTTGTGCTTACTAGGCAGCCATGCCACCACCTGAGCTATTGCTCCAGTGCTTTGAGTTCTTTTTATTTTTTGTGTGTATGCCATTCTATCTAAAAAGTCTTGTCTACCATTGAAAACTTCTAATTAAAAACTACATTTTATAATTGGGCAGTGGTGGCTCCTGCCTGGATCCTACCAACACAGCAGGCTGAGATGTGAGGATCACAGAAGCCAGCCTGGGCAGGAAGCCCATGGGATTCTTATCCTTGATTAACCACCACCAAAAAATCAGAATTGGAGTTGTGGCTTAAGTGGTAGATCACTAACTTTAAGCAAAGAAGCTCAGGGACAGTGCCCAGGCCCTGAGTTGTGCCTGCTGAACTGGCACAAAAAGCAACAACAGACAAACAAAACCCTATATTTTACTACCAAATGAAAAACAATAAAACTATGTCAAAAAATCACTTAATTTTTTCCATCTGTGCAGTTGGTTCATGCTACCATTAGGTTGATAATGCTATTATTATATACTCATTAATAATTATATTATATACTCATTAAGTCAAGTTTTTATGAGTTTTTTTATTTCAATGTTTAATTACTTAGCAAAAATTTATTAAGAAGCTATATGACATTATGCAAGGTGTTGGAGATAATTAACAAATGTAACACTGGCCTAGCTCATCTAGATGATCCACAAGATACAAGTATTATCATGTAAAATACTTAATATATAGAAAAATTGTAATAACACTGACCTCAAATAGTATCATAACTAAGGATTCAAAATATTGAAAAAAATCTATGGAATTTTATGTTAAGTAACTATGTTCTATGAGATTTTTTTATTTCTGATATTTCCTTATGGTATTTGTACACTCCTAGTCAAAGCCTTAAGATTATTTGTAGAAGTCTAGTATTGTGTCTTTGTTATTAAACAGAATTCAGAAGATTACATTTTTTTTTCTCCTACCACAGTTTCAGTTACTATCATGTCTCAGAGATGATCCTTGGCCTCCCACCAGCCAAATACCAGTCACCTGGCATGTTACCATATTTCACATTAATTACATGGCTATTCATTAAAACCAAAACAGTAAAAATATTTTCAAGTACTTTGACACTGTTGATTTTGTTTTTGATACTAATCTCTTGCTTCTCTTAGAATTCTGGATTCTGTATTGCAATTTTGTAACTACAGAGCTGTATTAATACTTTAAGTATCAGTCTTTATATTCTATTACAATAAATCTACAGAGTTGTTTAGATCTTTTTAGATTTTTAGATTTTTTGTGGATTTATTCCAAAAGAACTTCTTATTGTAGCTTTATGCTACAATGAATTTAAGGATTAAGAACTATAGGGTTTTAAAAATTACAATTTAAATTTGGAGCCAGAATGGTAATCTCAGCTACTTAGGAGGCAGAGACCCACAAATTGTGGTTTGTGGCATGTCTATGCAAAAAATTAGTATTCACGTACTTCAATAAAACAAGCCAGGAATGGCATTCCATATCTGTAGTCTTAGCTTACAGGGAGGAATAGGTGGAAGGATTATAGTCTAAGACTAACCCTGCTCAAAAGTGAGATCCTATCTAAAAGAATAACTAAGGCAAGAAACAGTCTGGATGTGTCCGTTGTTGAGTGCTAACCTAGCGAGCATGAGGCCCCAAGTTCAAATGCTGAAAGAAAAAAAAAAAAGGAAAAAGAAAGAAGAAAATAGCAAGAAAGGCATATGAGAGTATAAGACTCTATGTTCAAGCTTCAGTAACAGTACCAAGAAGAAAGGGAGAGGGTGGGAAGGAGGGAGGAAGGGAAGGAGGGAAGAAAGAACTATTACTTAAGTATGGCATATGCCATGAGGTTCCACTGTGGCCGTGAATGGAGATGATGGTGGTTTGTGCAAACAAGATAGAATCATTGTATGCTTGGAGCCAGTAGTACTCTGTTAATGGATGGTCACAAGATGACCATATATCCTCCCAAAGATAGAAAAAAAAAGGATAAATTTATGTATTTATGATCCTATGAAATGACAATGTAATTTTGAAGTTCAACATTTTTTGGGGGGGGGGGTTGGTCGTGGGGCTTGAACTCTGGGCTTGGGCACTGTCCCTGCATTCTTCAGCTCAAGGCCAGCGCTCTACCACTTGAGCCATAGCGCCACTTCGAATTTTCTGGTGGTTTATTGGAGATAAAAGTCTCATGGACTTTCCTGCCCAGGCTGGCTTTGAACCGCGATCCTCAGATCTCAGCCTCCTGAGTAGCTAGGATTACAGGCATGAGCCACTGGCGCCCGGCTGAAGTTCAACATTCTGCCATTTAATGCACTATTATAAAAACTTATAGTATATCGAATTAATATAAATACTAATACTGAAGCCAGATTTGTACCCAGGGGCTCCAGTGAGATTAATACAATTCCACAGATCAAACAACATGTCTTCTAAAAAGTTACTAAAAAGTAAATATTGATAGAAACTATAGTCTTAAAAAGTTAAAAATATACAAGATAACAATAAAGAGAAAGCTTATCTTTTTAAAAATATGAACTTATTTTACCTTAAGAATTAAGTCTCATTCTCCATGGTTAATGCAGGGTTACTCATACCTCAAAGAAAAAACAAGTTAATATCCTTCATTGTTTTGACAAATACGCAGACTACTTTATCCATCTATGAAAAATCCCCAGAACATTTGTAAAGGTTCTTTGTATATACTATTGATGTTTGTGGAAAAACATACACACATATCCTGTATTATGCCAGCCATCACCTGTATAGCATTTGCACACACATACACACACAAGGCTGCACACATGCACATCAGCATTATAATCAGATTATTTTGAGATTTGTAAGCAGATCTAACTTCAAAAACAATCTTTGCTAACAAATTATACCATGAGTGAAGAAAATAATTAAAAACAACAACACTATCGAGAAATAAATGAAAGTGAGATGAGAATAAATCAGAGACAGCCAAAGTTAGGGTAACAATGGGATCACTTGGAAATTTTGAAATAAGGTAGAGATTTTAGGATAAAGGACAATCACATCATTGAACTCAGCAAATATTTTTCAATCTTCTATTTGAAATGACCACACGTCTTTCTTTTTTTATATATTTTGCATTTTGAATTTATTTCTTTTTTGAATTTATTTCTAACACCTTTGTAATATGCAATGATAAAAATTTGGCTCTTTATATTGAATCAAAAGCAATGTAGAACCATCTTTCACAGAGCAATTTTCTACTGCTAAAGCTATTAATGGAAAAATTTGAAAGTAATTCTAAATTGGTGATAGATCCTGTAGATTCTGTAGTCAGATTCTGTAGTTAACACAATGGACTTTCCACCACTTACATGTATTAAAAATAAAACATCAAAAGATAAGTGCAAAATCTCACCCTTACCAGCTTTGCCTTTTTCTGGGTTTGTGCTGCTTTCTGTCCAAGACTGAGAATCAGTAAGGAGATGGCTCTGGGACTCTCTTAATGGCTTTGCAGGAAATTGATGGTTTTCAGGACTGAAAAATAATAATCATCTTAAGTTTACTCTTGACCGTACTGCTGAGAATTTCTCAAGTGTGGAATTCGAGCTGTGGAATGCAGATCACTACAGGAAGGACCAGGCTAACTGTGGCTTCACAGACACCTGCTTTCCTGAGATCAGCTCTGCCTGTGTCCTTCCATTCTCTTGATTAGATCAGGAGGATAGTGGCTAACTCAAGTTTTACTTTTGACATAGAAAATGGCCCTTAGCCTGATACTGAAATAGGGAGGCAATCCTAAGTAGTAGGTAGGTAAGGGAATCTAGTTAGAACTAAATAGTATTTTATCATCGAGTTTCTTTTTTAAAGTTCTATTTATGGCAAACTACAGTAGTTCATTTGTGACAGTGATAGAAAATCTGGTTTGAAATAAGTTTCAAAACAACTATATTAAACAAAAATATTAATTTTGTAAGTGATATGGATATGGAAACATATGAAGAAGATCCACCAGAAAGAATGACACTGTCCCATTTGTTAGGAGATGGAAAGACTTGGAAAAAATTATATGAAGTGAAGCAAGCCAGGCCCAAAGAAACATAGGTCCCATGGTTTCCCTTATTTGCAATAACAGTATATGTCTGAGACAAGCAGAAACGTTCAGATAAGTTGATGTTAGGCAAAATGAACCCCAAGATAAGGACTCAAGTGTTTTTTTCTTCTTGCTACTGTTTCTAACATATTTATAAGATATTTCTTTGTTGCTTTGTATGTCCCTCCCCCATGGTATAACCCATTTTCACTGTATTTGATGTTGATATAATTTGTAGAGGGGAAGGTAGACCCATTGCAACAATGAGATATACAAGATGTTATGTCGAAAAACAAACTTTACAACTTGGGGGGGGGGAAGGGTGGTGAGATGGGAAGGGATAGGAAGGGGAAACAAAAGAGGAGGCAACAATGCTTGATAAGAAATGTACTCATTACCTTGCCCATGTAATTATAACCCCTTTGTATGGTATTTTCACAATATAAATAAGTAAATAAATGAATAAATAAATAAATGGGAAAAAATATGAAGGAGATGGCAGGAGGACAAGTTTGAAAACAATTGCCCCCATGAATTCAAAGTGGTCTTGATGGTTTGCACAAAGGATTCTCTCTCCCTGAAACAACAAACTTGAGCATCATTTCCAGAAATGTTACAATGTCTGATATTATCAGGATATTATAAGTCATTATTATAATGAAACATGATAAGTCTAATGTTCAATTTGGGGAGTGGACTGGCCAAAACAAAAGTACAAGAATAAAAATATTGCAAATACTATTAAGTTTTATAAAAGCTTATTAATGGCTGGGTGCAGTAATCATAAGTCCAACTTGGAAAAAGCCTGAGACACTACCTTGAAACAAGCCAAAGTAAAAAGGACTAGGAGTATATTTCTAGTGGTACAGTACCTGCCTTGCAAGCAGGAAGCCATGAGTTCAAACCCTACTCCTGCCAAAAGAATACTACAAAATTTGAAAACCTATCCTTATATAATTGATTTTTTAGCACTGAAGTAGTTTTTAAATCCATTAATACTTAACTCTTGTGATTTAAAAAGCCAAAACTGATACAGCATAACCAAGGAAAGGGCTCTGATGCAAATGTCCCTCTAAAATACATCAAAATGGCCTTTGGCCTAAACACCATCTTCAAAAGAACTTCTGGGCTCACTCCAGGATCCATAGGAGATGTCCTACTGATCAGTGGAATATGTTAGTTAGAGAAGAGGAGTGTGATGCTGTACCCAAGAAAATCTCTTTAGTCCAATAAGGAATGATCTGGTTATGCTTTTGTCGTTACTAGCTTAAAATATGTTACACACATTTAGATACGCAGTCTTACACAGTAAAATCATTAGTGTTTTGAGCCACTGAAAATTCATATACAACAACATTTTAAACGACTCTTGCTAGTAAGTACCAAAGTCAGGATTATATTTCTGTTCTTTCTGTTACTGTCTTCAAATTCTGACTAGAATAAAAACAACTTGAAAGCTAAAGTAAAAGTCTCCACACAATGAATTTCCAAGGCTCCCTTCCTTATCAATTTGTGGGTGAAAGGCTCTGGTAATGTTTAGAGATCTTTAAAAAGCATAAAGGACATCATGACTATGCTAAAGGGATGATCAAAGAGTATCTCCAAGTCTCTTTTATCTCCAAAGACCTGGCCCGGAGACATTTTTTTCAGAGCTTTATAAAAGTTACCCTAGAGAAAACATATGGAAGTTCTCTTCCAAGTCACCTTCCTGGAGCAGTAGAGAACTAACTTTGACTTACATTTATTTTTTTGTAATTGCTGCATCAAAAAAAAAATCACAGGACATTTCAATATATAGCAAATTAACACATTCATTGTTGCTACTACTTTTGCTTTTCCTTTTTTTGTTGTTTGTTTTGTTGTGGTTTTGCTGTTGCTGTTTTTGAGATAAGGTCTTCCTATGTTGTCCAGGCTGGCTCTGACTAGTGATCCTCCTGCCTTGGCCTCCCAAGCTGTTATTATAGCTGTGTTCCACTCCCCTCTAGACCATGTGTATAACTTTATAGATATAATCCAAACCCACATGCATCCCTCTAGAGTTATTCTCCCTTCCCTCCTTTAACTCCAAGTTTCAAACCACTGGAATAAATTATTTTAGGTCCTTGATTTTTTTCCCCCCCAAATGAACATACTGCCCAAACACGAAGAGAACAAAACACATTATTTGAAAACAGAAAAACAAAAATGTAGGATTACTTTTTAGCTGCTGAACTCAGTCCTGCAGGAGTGGGTGGTTGTTCAGGATCCTGGTTAACAAGGCAGGTTGGAAATGAACAGCCATCACCTAGGCTATAATTAAAATACAATAGAGGAATCATAAAAAAGACAATGCTGAAACCTGATAAAATGCTAAAGTAAGAGTGCAAAGCATACTACCAGTAAAACATGCGTCACACACAGGCTTTAGTATTGTGGTTGTACTTACAGAAACAAGTGATTTCCACATCCATAGAATAGTAGATTAAAAACAAAACTAAACAATACTTTCAAAATAGAAATCTGAGCCAGGTGCCAATGGCTCATTCCTGTAATCCTAACTGTTCAGGAGGCTGAGATCTGAAGATCATGATTCAAAACCAGCACAGGCAGAAAAATCCATGAGACTCTTATCTCCAGTAAACTACTCAGAAAAAGCCCGAAGTGGAGCTGTTGCTTGAGTGGTAGTGCTAGCCTTGAATCCAAAGAGGCTCAAGGATATCATCCAGGCCCTGAGTTCAAGCTCCAGAACCAGCAAAGAAAGAAAAGGAGAAGGAGAAAGAGGCGGAAGGAGAGGAAGAAGAGGAAGAAGAAAAAAATATGGATGTTGAATTCAAGACCTGTGGAACATGAGGCTTTTTCTTCAATTGCCTTTTGTTGGCTTCCAATATTTTAGATAAACCTGAAAAAACACAACAGCTAAGTACCTTGAAAAAACAGGTAGAAACCAGTATTTCTTCTCATCGCCAAAAACTTGTCGCATGTTTTTACTGAAACCCAAGCTGAATCCATTCTTATCTGTTCCATGTCGGAAAACTGGACTTCTGAATGCCTCTGGAAAAGTGGGAAATCAGCCACATGAATAAAGATCCATGATTCCTACACTTTAGGAATAACTGAGTGGAGTGAGACACTTCAAGCCAGTAGCTAGCCTCTTGAGAGTGCTCAGGGCCTCATCAAGAACCCTGACACACAGGGAGTCTACTCTTAAATATTGTAAGGTGTGAGTTATGGGACATGTACAGTAGAGAAAACTAGAGAATACAACTGAGGAAATATTAAAGCTTTCTGTCCTCTCCATCTTTTGATAAATAGATAGATAGATAGATGGAAGAATAAATATATTTGAATTTATGTTTTAAAAATCAAAATGAAAGAATATTATACATATATTCTATAACCTGAGTCAATAAGCTCCATTTTCAATATCAATGAAATTTAATCTCACATTAGCACAAAATACTTCCAGCTATCCTACAGGTGTACTCTGGAGATAATCTGTCCAAATAAGGATCCAAATCAGAATTATCCATTGTATCTGGTTATGCCCATTCTGAGAATGAAAACTGAGACCCAGAGAGGCTCTAGAACTTGTTCAAGGCCACACAGAAAAGAAAAATGAGCAGCAGTGAGACTAGTACAAGACCATTCATGTTCCTTTTACAGTGCTATATTTTCTTCTTGAATAGTATTGTCATATGAAGTCTAAGATTTTATCTAAGAATAGGAACGAACATGAAAGTATAATGATTTCTATCTATCATTTTCAAAATGAACTTCTTACTAGCCAGTGTGCAAAATATGGTGATTTGTGAGATCCTTAGCATGTCACTCTATGATGTTGAGTTTTCTATAAAACTTTTTAAATTATATTTTGGACAAGTTCAATCTCAAAGTTTCTAGTAGTTAAACCTTTTAAAGACAAAATTCATTGGCTTTGCATGAAAGTATAATGTAATTGCCAAAATAAAACTGGAAATAAGGTTGCTTGCTCATAAGATATTTGATTATACTAACATTTTTTTCTGATAGCATTTTATATAATAAAATTTCACCCAAATGTTAAAAATAAACATGAAGTCAGACAGGATGGTGGCTCTTGCCTGTATTCCTTATGGGTAAGGCATAAGCCTCATGAGTTTGAGGCCCCAAACATGAAAAGAAAAAAAAAAGAATATAAATCAGTTAATAATGCCATTGAACAGCTTGTAATGTCCTTAGCAGCCACCAGGATTTATAAGTATCTGCATTGCCATTGGGCATGGCATCTCATGCCTATCATCCTAGCTACTGGAGAGGCAGAGCGCAGAAGGATCTAAAATCAAGGTAAGCCTGAAGAAAAGGTTAAAAAAGACCCTATTTTCAAACAACAAAATTCTGGATATGGTGGTGTGTTGCCATCCTCCCACCAAGTGGGAAGTTTAAATAGGAGAATTGTGGTCCAAGACAGCCCAGTCCCTCTGAAAATAACTAAGACCAGACGCTGTGGTGGGGCCTCAGGGGTGATTAGTCAGTGGCAGCTCTACCTTCATCAGTGGTTTAGTCACTCACAGCTGAATAAACTAGATCTAGAGAAACACATCCGTTGGGGACCTTTGAGTCATTTATCACGTCTCTAGAACTTTCCTCTGTCTTGGTGCCTCCTGTCCACCACGAGGCAAACCACTTCTCCCACCACATGCTCCTGTCTGCATGTTCGGTCTCACAGTGCATGGGCTTGTACTTAGCAGGAGCCAAGGGACTATGGGCAGAAACCTCTGTAACCATGGACTAAAATCAATTCTTCCTACCTTAGAGGGAAAGGAGGAGGAAGAAGAAAATAAGAAAAAAAAAGATAAGAAGGAGGGAAGAAAGAGGAGGGGGAAGACGGAAGGAAGGAAGGAAGGAAGAAAGGAAGGGAGGAAGGGAGGGAGGAAGGGAGGGAAGGAAGGAGGGAGGGAGGGAGGGAGGGAGGGAGGGAGAGAAAAAAGGAAGAAACAAAAGAAGGGAGAGAGGGAGGGAATGAGATCAAGGAAGGAAAAAAGCAAGCAAGCAAGGGAAAGAGAAAGGAGGGACAGTGAGGAAGAAAGGAAGGAAGGAAGAAGGAGGGAAGGAAGAAAGGAAGGAAGGAAGGGAGACAGAAAAAAGGAAGAAACAAAAGAAGGGAGAGAGGGAGGGAATGAGCAAGGAAGGAAGCAAGCAAGCAAGGAAGAAGGAAGCAAGGAAGGGAAAGAGAAAGGAGAGACAGTGAGGAAGGAAAGAAGGAAGGAAGAAAGAAAAGTGAGGGAAGGAAGAAAGGAAAGGAAAGGAAGGAAGGAAGAAGAAAGAAGGAAAGAAAGGAAGAAAGAAACAAAGAAAGAGGAAGGAAGGAGGGAAGGAGGGAGGGAGGGAGGGAGGGAAAAATAAAAAAGCAAAAAAGGGTTAGAGGCCTGCCTCAAAAATACCTGCTTCTAGAGTACCTGCTTGAAATATTCAAAGCCCTGAATTCCAAGTTGAATATACTAGAGTTCTGAAAAAGAAAAGAACAAAAGGAAAGAAGGAAAGAAAGAATATTTTTTTTTACCACTTCAGCACAAGTTACATCTGACCATATGTCAACTTTCAATTATTCTCTACATATACTTTAAAAATTCTATCAACTACATTAATTGGATACTCACCTAATGTAGATTTATTTTTGCTGACTAGCCAACAATGATAACCAAACAGAGAAGACAAGCTGACAGAAAACATAGCTGCAGCAAAGAATAAAAACATAATATGGAACTTGGCTTGGGTATCAGGTAGGCCATTCTATAAAGAAAGGAAGAAAATAAAATGTTTTGTCAAAGAAATATTCTCCTATTTTTATATATAAGTCAGTAAAAGGATTTTTTGCTTAAAATATTTCTCAAATGTAGATACGGAGAAAGATACATGGTATCATGGTAAAACCTTAGGAGAAAAATGAACATATTTCTATTACATTAAATATTTATTGGGATAAGAATATATGTGGAAAATCGTAAAATTTTGAATATTTTATTATTTTTGCATAATCAAATCATGGAAAAGTATGGTAGCACAAATAATAATAGGAAGTGATATAAATGATACTATAAAGTATAGTTTTAAATTTACTACCAGGTTTTTTAAATTAACATATAGGATTCACAAATGTTTAAATGGTTTTATTATGGGGGTCAGAAAATGAACTTTAGTGTTTTGTGTTACAGCAAACAACAGCATCAACAAAAAGAATACATACAACACATCCACAATAATGTTTCAAGCTACTTAAACTAGCTGCATTACAGAAAAAAATCAACATTAGCAAGTAATATGTCTAAAATAAACCTCACAAAATCCATGGGCTAGAACAGGCTGTCTCAGAAAACAAATCAAAAAAACCAGCCTGCCCCTCACTGTTTAGTGATGAGAAGGTTGGACTAGCTGTGGAAGGAGAGCTGGGAGCTAAACACATTTACTGAAGCTCTGAGGATGCCATGATGTGTCTTCCTAGTGCTGAGCTATGTAATTGTTAAATGAGGTTCAAACCTCAAGTGAATGATCTAGCACTTCAGACATTCTTCCAATCATAAGGAATAAGTCAATGAAAATAAAAAGCAATGCTGACAATGCTTCTTACTAGTGTTCATAAGAACTATCTTTGGATATTTAAAATACTTTCTTTTTAATTGTCATAAAATAGTTTATTTCTAAATTTGTGTTGCCTTTATTTACAAAAAAAAAAAGTAAAGCAGAAAACAAATGAGTTACCCTAAAACCTAATCAAAGAATACCTAATAAAAATCTAGGACATTGCTGACATAAGAGCTTAACAATCTTACACACGAAGGGAAAACACTTCTATTTTCAAACACTAAACAAATTCCACTTACATAGTCAGTTCTCATTATCCACAAAAGTAATGTTCCATGAAGTTGTCATGAACAGTGACAACCTTGTCTGATGTGGTTTGGGCTTCAAGGTACCTTATTCATAGGGTGTTGATTCATTACTATGGAACCTAACTGCAGTAGTACTGTAACTCACATCTGAAGGGAGCTTATCTAATACATATGTATTCTTCATAAGACACATCAGTCTTGTTTAGAAGTCCTAGACAGTACTTGAGCAATATGTCTGAAGTTTATTTTAAACACAAAAATCACACACAAAAAAGCAAAAACAATGGCACCAAAGAGACTGAGACACACACAAGCTTATAGTGTGAGGGCTGGAACAAGAAGACAGAAAGAGATTGCCTCATTCTCCCACCACCAGGACTATACAGATAAAGCACTCAGATATGTTGCCCCTCTATATGCATCAAATGATTGCAAAAGCTCTGTAAGCATTGACTTGGAGGTTACAAATAAATTTTGTGAAGGAGAATTAACAAACATAAAACCTGCAAATAATGAGGACTGACTGTATATAACTTAATTCTGTTTGAGAAAGCCAGTACCTGAAAATCAACGTTATACACTTTTGTAAACTAAAGAAATGTTACTAAAGTAATGACTTACTGTCCAAAATCTGATAAAATACTGTAAATCAGTGGCAGCAATAAAAAGGCAGTACAGAAGAGAATAAGCCAAGAAAAGAAGGAAGAATTTATAATTTGAAAATCCAACACAATTGTTCACCCTGCCAACAAAACAGAAACAGTCTCAGTGAGTTTTACATTGTCAACCTCAGTATTAAAAATGCTCTGATTTAAGACAGCATTTTTTAAACTATTAGCACTTCAAATCATAAAGTTTTATTACATAGGCAAATACTAAAAATTTATTTCAGTAAAAAGAAATTTCTGTATTTGATATCTAATATTACATTAAACAAGCATGATTAGTATAACTATGTTTCATATACAAATAACCTCATACCTAAAAGTACAGGGCTTGTAGAGACCTAATAATCTCAAGCCAGATTCAAAGAATTTACTAAATCCTTCCTTGATGGTTTGTGTTCTATGTTCAATTGTAATTAAATAAGTTAAAATCTTTTAAGTTTCCTTAATTGGATGAAGTCCTTCAGATACTTTTTGCGTGCTGTCAGTGAGCTAACTAGACTGTCAAAGCACACTAATTAGGAAGTTAAAGAAACAAGATTTTGTACTTCGATTTTATATATAAATTATAAAATGTTTTCCAAAAAAAGAAAAAGAAAAGAAAAGAAACAGACTAGGATCCACACAGATAAGAGTCAAAATACATAATTGACACTAGGTGACTGTATGGTCCTGAGAAAGAACATAATCTATTAGAATTTCATTTTCCTTACCTGTAAAGTGAGTAATTTGAGATTGTTTCCAAAATCTAATTCTAGATTCCAAATCTAGAAATGTATAAGTCCTCAGCTTGTACTCTAAAATTATATGGTGGGCAGTAAAGGGTAGAATTCCAACTGCTATGTCAATAAATAAAAATACAATTCATTTTTGTTATTCTCTCAAAGGATTTTCTTTTACTTTTCAGAGGACAAAGGCTCTAGTAGGTAGACTTGTGTGCATATGACAAGAGGAGTAATATGTCATCTATTAACTCATGAAGAACTGGTTTAATAACCCTACGTCCTAGAATATGGGTTCCCTTTCTTCAATGTTTTCTTCCCACTCTAATATTGGTAAAATAATCTCTATGACTGCCCCCAAGGAAAGGAAACATTTTCTTCCTAATATTTTTCAAAATAAAGCTATGTTTAAATGAAAAATAATCATTTTCTATTTCAAAAAATATAAAGGAGCTCATTAGTTCAATTCAGTAAGTTGTCAACCTAACAGTCTTGTACACAGAAAAGAACTCATAAAGAGGTTAAAAAAATAACATGGAAAGTTATTTGTGCCATTCTCCAGGTTCCCTCAGAAATGCAAACCAAATGCTGAGAATACTTTTTATGACACAGGAAAGAAAAAAAATGGCAAGAAGTAAAAATATTAACAGTGATGTACAAGCCTCATCTAATTGTAATCTGTCTCAAAAAGATGCAGGGTGTTGCCTTTGCTTGTGCATGCTGATTTCAAGAGGAAAGTGTGGGTAGAAAAAGGATGTGGTACTGTCAGACTGGGAGATATGGGTGTGAGCAACAACTGACTTAACAGAGAGAATTAAAAGTAGAAGACAAAATGCTGTTCATCCTACAGGAATACAGCAGCCGCTTCTGTATTAAGTGATGAAGAACAGATTTGCAGAAAGAGAATAATTTTAGTCAGAGATTTTTATAATAATTTATCTTACTTTAACTTCTAATCAGAGAGCATGGGTATAAGTTGCCACCTCAGCCAGGTAACAGGAAAAAGTTGGTAAAAACCAAGTGTTTGAGACATTACTAGAGGAAATGGAGTAATACTGGTTATCTTGAGTAATATCTCACTATTTTCATAACAGTTTCTAGTTAAGACGTTTTAACTGCCTGCTGTTTTCTAGAATCAACTGGACAAGATGGAGCTTCCTCCACCTAGAAAAGGGATGATTTTTTTATGGAGAAACAAAATACACGTTGGGTACATGTCCTTCATGCGTGAGTGATTTAGAACACTATAAAGCACAGCCATAGGCTCTATTTTGGCGAGATTGCTTCCTAGATCTGAATGTATATATTGAAAAGAATACAGCCTTTCAGACTTGGAAAAAATTATATTAAGTGAAGTAAGCCACACCCAAAGAAACATAGGTCCCATGATTTCCCTTATTTGCAATTAACTAGTATTAAGTCTAGGACAAGCAGAAAAGGTCAAAAGCGATGTACATATGACCATATAAGATGATGTAAAGTGAAATGAACCACAAGATAGGGACACAGGTTTTCTTTCTTGCTATTGCTTTAACATAGTTAAAATGTACTATGTGATTTTTTTGTTTCTCTTGTATGTTCTTCCCCCACAGTATAACCCCTGTTTTCACTGTATTTGATGTCAGTGCCCTGCTGAAATAAGGATACAGGTTGAACCATTGTAACAATGAGATGTACAAGACACTGTGTTGAAAACAATCTTTACAATTTGTGTGGGGGGAAGTTGGGGAGGTGGGGAGGGAAGGGATGGTAGGGGAAAAACAAAGGAGGAGGTAGCAGTGCTCAATAAGAAATGTACTCATTACCTTACTCATGTAACTGTAACCCCTCTGTACAGTATTTTTACCATAAAAACATAAAAAAAGAATATAGCCTTTCAATCCCCAAAGCTGGCTGTGTGACTTTAAGATATTCTCCAACTCTCCTGAGCCTGCTTTCCTCTATGTCAAAACAGAACATATGATGTCTTCTTTGTCATTAGTATAAAAATAATAGATTATATGTAAAGTCTTTGGAAGACAATCCTCAACTCAATCAGTTGAAGCTAAAATTATTTCTTTTTTGTCAGTCATGAGGCTTGAACTCAGGGCTTGAGCACTGTCTCTTAGCTCTTTTGCTTAAGGCTAGCACCCTACTAGTTTGAGCTACAACTTCATTTCTTGTTTTCTGGTGGCTAATTGGAAATAAGAGCCTCACAGACTTTTCCGCCCAGGCTAGCTTGAAGCATAATCCTCAGATATCAGCTTCCTGAGTACAGGTATAAGCCACAAGTGCTCGGCCAAATTATTTATTTTGATTTGTGCTCACAACCCTTCAGCAAGCATGCCTAACTATAAGTGCAATTAATAAATTTTATACTGAAAGGAAAAATGACTCTGAGAAAAATTTAGTAAAGGAAACACTACAGAAACTCTTTTTAGTTAAAATAACCAAAATGAGACTGTCCCTTGAATCCTGATGGGCAATCTCAACTGACCAATGCAGTTATGCTAAAATCATTGAAAACTGGACATGCACTGTCTAATGTTGCAAATGCTCAAGGCTGACATGCTAAAGTTCAAAACCACATGTAAAACTCATATAAAAGGCTCTCCAACCATCTAGTATTATTCTAAAAGTCCTTTAATAAGTTACATTAGCATAATAGCTACAAAAAAGGCCCTTGTGCATGCTAGGCAAGCACTCCACCACTGAATAACTTTCCATGTATTAATATGGGAACACATTCAGGATTTATTAAAAGAGAAAGAGAGATAGGCACGGGTAGCTCATTCCTATAAGCCTGGTTACTCAGGAAGCTGTGATGTGGCTCAAGAGATAGAGAGTCAGCCATGAGCAAAGATGCTGAGTAAGAGCATGAGGCCCTCAGTTCAAGTCACAGTATCAGTACATGGGGTGCGGGGGGGGGGGGGAGATTCAGTGTACAGTGTAGTCACTTGTACTGAAAAAAGATAGAGCACCTCCCTTTTCCAGGCATGTTTAGTCTGACACAGTACCAGTGACACAAGTATCACTGGATCCCTTGGGCAGGGAAGAAGGTGGATAGTAGAGAAACATGTTCGCTGCTCTGACTTCTGAAGATTAGAACCACAAATGTATTATTATCTGTATAAAGCCAGTTTTGCTTTACTAAACCATCTAATTTTATGACTTAGATGTACTGGAAAACATTAATGAATTCTAAGTAGAAACTCTTACTTGTTTTTTAAATTATACTTTTATCTTAAGTCGTTGTACGCGGGAGCTACCATTCAACAGAATCAGTTTATAAGTACACTGCACCTTGATCCAGGTCACCCATTTTCATCATTCTCCCCAGCCACTCCCCTCATTTCTTGGTTGGATATTATGACTGTGTCCTTCCCCATTTCCTCTCTTCACCTGTCTGCCCTCCTCCCTTTCACCTCTCCTCACCCCTTTCAAGGGCCACTTTCAGAGTGTAAGATAGATTTTCTAAGGAATTTCACCGTTGAAACTGTCCCCCCACCCCCAGCACATACCACACTTTGGTTAGTGCATTTGTGTGTACTTGCATGCAACCCTACATGTGAGAAACTCTTACTTAACCCTAGCTGTGTATTTGCTATTTTGTTAAAGCTTTAGGTAATCTATTCCTCTATTACAAACATCTCCCGGGGTGTTTTAATATATAATCAATTTGTAAATCTTTGTGTAAAATTCCTGCATGAATCTCTGTATGTGCGGACCAGAGAAGAACCTTTGTTGAAAACATACCATTAACCTTTATATGGTTAACATAGTAGTACTAACATTATTTCGTGGAAATTCTCCTAAATAAAGGGTCTATCCGACTCATTAAATGTTAGAAACTAAATCAGGAAGTGTCTTCTAGTTCAACCAAACCGCTATTTCATTTGTGAAAACATTGTAAATAATGAAATAATTCAACTTATTATGATTTGTAAAAGAAACAAGTACAAAGGCATACTCACCATGGGCAGTGATGATCCATCTTCAAGATACATCTAAAAATCAGGGTAAAACACCAAATATAACACCACACAAATTTTTAATCCCATTAGGCTATCACAACAAAAGAAGAAATTCTTATTTAAACATTTGTGGCAAGTAAAACACTGCAACATTATTCAGCTCAATATTCAGAAATAGCAAAAGTTCTCATCTAAAATAAACACTGTAAGTTGAGAGCCTGTGGCTCATGCCTGTAATCCTAGCTACTAAAAAGGCTGAGATCTGAGGACTGTGGTTCAAAGCCAGCCAGAGCAGGAAAGAGACTCTTATCGCCAGTAAACTACCAAAAAAGCCAGAAGTGGAGCTGTAGCTCAAGTAATAGCTGATAGCCTTGAGCAAAAAGAAGCTCAGGGACAGTGTGTAGGCCCTGAGTTCAAGCTGTAGGACCAGCAAAATAAATAATATTAAATAAATAAATAAACAAACACTACAGCTGGCTCTAGTTATGAACTTTAAATTTAAACTATTCATGATTTAAGATTCAAGCCAACTCTTTTTCATTTTCTATTTGAGCTGCTAGGGACTTGGACTTGGGGTTTTACATTCTCAGCTTTTTTCACTCATTGCTGGTACGTTAACTTGAACTATACCTCCACTTCAGCTTTTTGTTTGTTATTTGGAAAAAGCAACCTTCCACATTTGTCTGCTGATGCTGGCTCAGAACCTTATCCTTAGATCTCAGCCTTCTGAGTAACTAGGGAGATAGGCATGAGCTACCAGCATCGATCTTTCAACTCATTTTCTATTACTATATTAATATACAATTTCCTCATGCTAAAGAAGGCATAAAATATCAATAGATTTAATACAAAATCTGAATACAGTTTTCCTGTTAATATCAGTCCTTAAGCCAAGTTATGTTGCTCATATTGCATATTAAGTATTATAATATCTGACTTTGGGAAATCAATTGCTTTATAAAGGAGGAAACTACAGACGTCTTTGGTTTTGTTTTTAGTTGAACTATCGATATCAGAACTGCTCAAAATCATGTGCTCCATTTCACCATGAATCTAGTAGATAGGGACTATTGATTGTGGCCATAAGCCACAATGGTATTAATGCAAGTTACAGTTCTAGTTATGACTCCTATAATTCTTACTTAGGAAACAGAGATGATAATCTGGAAAAAAGAACATAAATACTATATGTAATGATCACCAGCATGTAAAGATTTTAGAAATAAAAGGTTTCCTTACTTATCACAGACGGAACAGTGGTGGCAGCGATCTGGTTTTATAAGTTGGCATCTGTCACAATAGCGGATTGCTAGGAACAAAAGCTCCCCTTAGTCTTCAATTTTATGCAGAATGGAATATGCAAATAGTGATTTTTAAATCATTTCTTCAGAATTAAGTTCTAAAAAAGCTTACTGCTTTTAAATTTGGATAAAAAGACTTTCCACACTCAATTCTGTCTAAATGCACACACACACACACACACACAAATAAAACTCAGGAAGACTTGCCTACAATTTGAGTTTTCTGGAGAGTTTTACTCAAAACTAAGGACTCTCTGGAGAAGAATTTCCCAAGATGTTTTCCATTACCAGTTACAGTAAGGTTTACAGGGTACAGATAGGTCCATTTCTGTTGAAGTAGGTAGTCCTCTTTGGCTAAATTATAACCTGTGTACAATGAGGTGAGGATACAACTGCAGAAATAGATTTCAGAAATTTCCAATAGATTCTCTCAGAAGCTTACATTGGGAAAGATCTCCTATCTCCATGGGGCAACATACACAAGTAGACGTGAATAAAGGAGGGAGTTCTTCCGAGAATGTTAGTCTTGCAGCTGAAGCCCTTGCCTTTTCTTCTACAGTATGTAGCATATGTAGCCCCAAATGGGTTGACTAATAGAGATACTGTTATCACACAAGCAGCACACAGGATACATTTGATCACTGACAAACAGTGAAAGTAAACGAGCTAAAAATTTATGTGAGAGACTTAAGATTACATTATGATTCTAAAATAAGGGAGAAATAATAAAAATAATATTAGAACATTAGGGATTTTACATTCATTTTCTCATGTTACATCTCTGAAATTGGTCATGTATCTTACATTTAAGGCACATCTCAAATGTGGACTACCTATATTATCAATGATCAGTAGCCAGATGGGCTAATGGATAGGTACCACAATGGGCAGCACAGCTTTAAAACACAGAAAATAGGTGTGTGTGGGAGGGTGTGATTTTTATGACAATTATTTAGGTTTTAAATTACCTTAAAAGTACAATCCAAAGTTAAGCCAGCGTTAAACTGTGGGTCCTCCTAGTTCTAGCTAGAAGGGGAGATTACAGGTATGCAGCACCATGCTAAGCTTCCAAGTAATCGATTCCTTTTCTGTTTGTTGTTTTTTGAGATGGAATTTCACTAAGTCTGACCTGGAACACCCTCTGTAGTCCAGGCTGGCCTTGAACTGTGGATCCCCCATAACTACTTCCTAAAGGCAAGGATTATAAGTATATTATCACCATACCCCACTTCCAAGTAAGAGATTCACTATTTCAGTTGTATTTGTTTAAAAAATAGTTTAAATTTCAAAGATGAATAAATATCTAACTTACTTTACATAACTACTGCTTGAAGTTTATGATAAAAATATATATATAAGCTTTCCATGATTATAGGTATCGCTCCCTTGAATCTCAACAGCAAAGTCTTTAAGACTTTAAAGCAAAAGCTTTAAGACTGAATTGCACTATACATCACGAGTTCAGCCATTCTTTCATTGTGGCTGAGTCACAGTTACGTAGGAGGAATAGATCTAAAGTCAGTTCTGATTTAGGAGAGATCTCTGTGCCAGGGTTATTGGTGCTTCTGTTCTGTTTTACATATTGCAGAAGAAAGATCTAAAGCAATCCAACAAATCACAAATGAGTGACAGACTAAGTTATGAATATGCTTCCTAAGAGTCACAACAGCACATCAACTTGGCTACTGTACTGAAGCCTCACTGTAGATGCTTTTACCTCCAGACATGGTCCTGGTATAGATGGGAAGGTCTCTGGCAGCTCGCCTAAGAACTTCCTGATGAGCTTCTCCCCTTGGCTCTCTCTCCAATAGTTCTTTCTCTGCATAGGAGAGATGGAACTGTGGAATAAATTTTAATTTTAATCAGTATTGTCAGAGGAGTGATAACATATTGGTCTTCTCTAATATACTCCAACTCACTTATAAATTATTAATAGTGGTGTATGGTATATCCAGAGTTTCAAATCTGGACAAGTTGATTAAACCTCACAGATCACTATGTTATGCATCCAGAAAAAGAAGATAATAATAATAACCATATATATTTCTCCAGTGTTTGTAAAACTTAAAAGGAATAGAATGTATAAAAATTTTTATGAAATAAGTACTTATGACTGTAAAGCTCCATCCAAATATTAATTATACAAAAGAATAAAATGGCCTACTTAATATATATAGCTCGATAGGTGAATTTTTTATTTGCATGTATTAGGAATAACAGTAGAAACATCATTCAGCTATATTTTCTCATCTAAGTTTTAAGTTAACAATAACATAAACTTCTAGAGCTCAACAAAAACAAATTATTCATTTTATTAAGGGCTGGGAAGGTGGCTCAGTGGTAGAGTGCTTGCCTCACATGCATGAGGCCTGGGGTTCAATTCCTCAGTACCACATAAGCAGAAAAAGCCGGAAGTGGTGCTGTGGCTCAAGTTGTAGAGCTCTCGCCTTGAACTGAAGAGCTGAGGGACAGTGCCCCAGACCCAGAGTTCAAGCCCCATGACCAACCAAAAAAAAAAAAAAGAAAAAGAAAAAGAAAAGGGGAACAATTAACATAAGGTGCAGAATACTTATTACTTCTTGAAGAATACAAGGAAATACACTATGAAGTACACAGAGAGATAGAAATATTTTACATACTGGCAAAGTAATTATTTAGCTGTTTTCATTTTATTATTCTTGAAGTTGTACATTTCATGTACTTTTGCATGTATGAATATTTTAGAATTCTTTAAAATATTTTTTAAATTGACATATCTGGAAGGGTGGTAGAGTATGTACCCTCCTACAAACGTAAGAGTTCAAACCCCAATACTGACCCAAAAATGTACCTAAGTACGTCAATTAAACAAAGAAAAACAATTTAATGAAAATTAGGACATATCTTAGCCTAAATCGTTACTCTTAGAGAATAAATTTTAAAATCTGTATTTATATGATTGACAGCTCTGTTAATAAATCTCCAGCTTTCAAATGTAACTTTAAATTAACTATAATATTCATACTTGCATAATCATTGAATAAATCTTGTCATAAAATTTCATACCCTTTACTTAAGGTAAATGGAAATAAAAGTAACTGTTGTCCAAAACCAATATACTATGAATAATTCAAAGTAAATGTATCACATTTACTCACATGAAACCACTAGATATGGTAGGTTGCTTATGAGTTTCTAAGGTAATTGACAAAATTCTTCCCTAAGTTAACATTCCTTTTCTTATAATTTCACATCATTCACTTACTTCTTCTTTATTTATTTATTTTTTATTGTGAAAATACTGTACAGAGGGGTTACAATTACATGGGCAAGATAATGAGTACATTTCTTAACAAGCATTGTAGCCTCCTCCTTTGTTTCCCCTTCCCATCCCTTCCCATCCTCCCCCTGCACTTACTTCTTCTTAACTTCAGAATACTCCAGCTTTTTTCCCCCAAATGAACACAAAACTGAAGACTATATTTAGAGCTTAAGGTATGCTTTTGAGCAATTGCTCTTTTCAAGTTTGCTCCCTGAAATCTTCAGCTATAAACAAATGATGTTTATATGTGTTTCCACACTACTTTGATAGTTGGGATACGTAAATGAATGTGTGTGGCTGTTAAGGAGAGTGTGAAAGCCTTGTAGCCTGATCTCCGGAGGCTGGGCCGGAAAAGCAATCAAACTACTGTTATCAAGGAGACACCAGATATTCTCTCTTGCTAAAAAAACAAACAAAAAAAAGTTTTAGGCCAGGCATCATGTACGTAGATGACTTTAAAATCAAAAGTAAATTGCTATAAACTGTTTTGAAAAACAAAAACCAAACACCCCCAAGTACATACATAACGAGTAGCCTGTTTGGAAACATTTGGTGGCACATGCATGAAGTTAGGGTCACTTTGGTAATGTTTTAAGAATTACAATGTTTGAAGAATAGGCTAAGTACCAATGGTACAACAATGTTTAAGATACACTCCCCTTGCTCCAAAAACACTTAACCAGATGAAAGACTCCGAATGATGTATTCAAAGGAGACTTAATTTGATCATATCTTTCCACTTAAAATTTTTGGTATCAGAGAGTGCTTGTTGCCCCTCCCCTCCCCCTCTCTCCACCCCCCCCCCCACCACCAATACCTGCTGTTCCCTGTAGGTATTGTTATATATTCCTACTGGAATATTTAACAGATTTAATATATTGGAAAATACATTGGATATACATTTATATATTTATATATACAACATATATTTATATTTATTTTAGAAATGCAATAACCATCTGGTAAAACATACTATCAAGTAAAAATTCAAGAATTTACTAACAAACAATATTTATCCAAAAAGAATTCACTGTACTCAATAAGCTTGCATAACTTTAAAAAGAACAAAGTGTATTTCTTCACACATCATTATTATTGATTTCTACCATTACGATAGCTTTGTTAATTTTTAACTTACTTCTTTTGAAGGATTCATCGGTAATGTAAAGATAGTTTTCCAGTATGACCAGATAAACATTGCAAAAAGTAGATGATAAGCCATTAGACACACAACTAAAATGAGAAAAAAAATATCATTATAATATGCAAATACATACTCAAAAGTTGTGGCATTCACAAAAGAGCTGCTTGCTCTAAAACTGATCCAGATTGCCTACTATAATTAATTACAACAGCTCACTTACATCATAGAAGAAGCACAACTCTTTGAACATAATAAACATAAAGCTGAGAATTTTATTTTTTTATTTAATTTCTAAACACATAAGTAGATCTTCACCCATAACAGAACCTGCCCATTGCTAGAAACATGCCCATCTTTTGGTAGAACAGCTAACAGGGACATTTCCTGAATTATCAAAATAAAAAATTATGCCTGCAATATTTTTATTTTTTCCAGTCCTGGGGCTTGAACTCAGGGCCTGGGCACTGCCCCTGAACTTATTTTGCTCAAGGCTAGCACTCTACCACTTGAGCCACAGCACCACTCCTGGCTTTTTCTGTTTATGTAGTACTAAGAAATCAAACCCAGGGCTTCATGCTTGCTAGGCAAGCACTCTAGCACTAAGCCACATCCCCAACCTATGCCTTCAATTTTGAAGAGAAAATGCAGCATTAAACAAATGTTAAAACTTTCAGGCTCTAATATCTTGGCCTTACTGATGAAAGCAGCAAAAGCAGCTCCTATGTGAAAAGCTGTCTGCTTATTTGCTTGGCTCCCATAGATGCTGGGGTGACACCAAATGTAATGTCAACATATTTAAACAGTGACCATCTGGACAAGGAGAGATTTCCTCCACTGGGAGTTCAATTGCTTTATTTATCACCCTGGACAACTGTGGAGGGAAGCATTCTGCGTACTTCTCTTAAGAAAATATAGAGAAGCGCACTTCATGTGGTGTTTTAAAGCCTTGACTTACTAACAAATCTAAATTATTAATTTTTCATACAGTATTCATTCATTCTGAATACTTTAATATTCAATTCAGCTCTGCAGGGCATAGCTAAGTGAAACAGGCAGTTTTAGCAGACAGTAGTTTGATTTTTAAAAACCTTAATAGAAATTTTTAACTTTTCTAGAGAATGTTATTTATATTTATAGAATCATTAAAAATTTGAATTATTTACTAAAGCACCTAAATCATCATGAGACTATTAGAGACCAATGGCAGGTCTCATAAATTATGTAGATAATTCATTGGTTGGGTAGTATCCCAAGTTGGGATAGAGATGGACGAAATTCCTGTTATTTCACAGCTACAAGAATCTCTTAATAAATACAGCCACTTGGTGAGCTGAATTCTTGTTGCAAGTGACAGCACTCAGTTTTAGGGGCTCAAAGAAATGAGATGTTATTAACTCTCTTACTTTCCAAAAGAGTCGTTTCTTAATTCCAACCAATTCTAAATGGATCGTTGGTTTCTTCAAACTATTTTAAACTATTATACCACAACAATAAACAATTTACCTTGTTCACCAATGTTTTCCATAGACACTATAGAAACAGAAAGAAAAAGGAAGAGGTTATAGGACACTATGATAAACATAGGCTCACAGAGACATTAAATAGGTTAGCAACTTGGCTTCTCTTCCAACTAACATTCTTTAAATATTTGATCGACTTTAGTGAGAGGAGGGGCAGGCTCTGTGTGGAGGGCCAGTGGACCAGAAAGCCTAGCTGCAAGCCCTAGCCAAGGCCTTGGCTCCCACCCAGCGAAGCAGTGCTCTTCAAACATGCACCTTCCAGATCTCAGTCCACTAGCCACTGGCTTAGTGTTTGTTTTTTGTTTTTGTTTTCTTGACTATAAGGTCCAGATAAAAAGGAGTGACCATTACCCTTTCAAAGATATTTACTGCTCTTTATAGGCAACCACTTGGTGAGCGCTCCATAAAGAACAAAATGCTGTGTACACTGTCCGTTGGTCTCCAGATTTCTAAGAGTAAAAGCCTTATGCTCAATGGCTGAAATTGACCCCTGCTATACAATGAGAGTTCCAGGCAGAATCTGGAACAGTGTTGTGTTTCAGGAGCTATGGGGATTATTTCAAAATGAGAGAGAATGGGGAACTGTGAGACAGAAATAAAAAGCGACAGACAACACAGCTATAGCATGTGTCCCACCACAGTGCCTCTTGTTTCCATAATGGCTCTGGCTCCTGTCAAACGCTTCTTCCTAGAAGGTTGTGAGTCCCTGCCCACATGCTTTTTCTTCCTATAATGCCCCGATGCCTGAATCAACCAATGGAAAGAGCTAGGGCTGTGTGTGCACCAGCTAACAAGCAATCAGCACAAAGTCAAGGGGAGGAGATATGGGAGGAGACACCCACCATTATAAAACACCTTCCAAGGGGACTCTGTGGGATTTCTTGTGGGGTCTCTGAGTCTCTGCAGATGACTGGAGGCCCTCTCTACTTTCTTTCATGATTTTCCTGTCACTTTCAAATAAACTTAACTCTGTTTACCTTAAATATTCCCCTGCCTTTTTTAAATTTTTATTTTTTATTGTGAAAATACTGTACAGAGGGGTTACAATTACATGGGCAAGATAATGAGTACATTTCTTATCAAGCATTGCAGCCTCCTCCTTTGTTTACCCTTCACATCTCTTCCCAGCCTCCCCCAGCTCCCCCCCACCCAATCCTCCCCCCTCCCCACCTAAGTTGTAAAGTTCGTTTTTGACATGACAACTTGTACTTCTCATTGTTGTAACGGGTCCACAGTTATCCTTAAACGACTTGTTTTTCCCCTTCTCCTCCACAAATTGTACCGACATCAAATACAGTGAAAGCAGGGGTTATACTGTGGGGGTGGGACATACAAAGCAACAAAGATTTTAAATAATCTTATAAATGCATTAGAAACAAATGCATGAAAGAAAAAAACATTTAAATACATATCTAAGGGTTCACTTTCCTAACATCACATTATCTGACCTTTTCTGCTTGACTCATACATATACTAGATATTGCAAATAAGGGAAACCATGGGACCTATGTTTCTTTGGGCCTGGCTTACTTCACTTAATATAATTTTTTCCAAGCCATTCCATTTCCTAACAAATGGGGCAATGTCATTCTTTCTGATGGAGGCATAGAATTCCATTGTGTACATATACCACATTTTCTTGATCCAGTCATCTACTGAGGGGCATCTGGGTTGGTTCCCTATCTTAGCTATGATAAATAATGCTGCAATAAACATAGTTGTGCTGGTAGTTTTAGTGTGGTCTTGTTTGTAAACATTTGGGTAAATGCCCAAAAGTGGGATTGCTGGGTCATAGGGGAGCTCTATGTGAAGTCTTTTGAGGAACCTCCATACTGCTTTCCAAAGTGGTTGAACAAGTTTACACTCCCACCAACAATGAAGTAAGGTTCCCTTCTATCCACATCCCCTCCAGCATCTGTTGTTATTAAAGTTCTTGATTTTTGCCATTCTAACTGGAGTGAGGTGGTATCTCAGTGTTGTTTTGATTTGCATTTCTCTTATGGCTAGGGAGGTGGAGCATTTCTTCATGTGTCTATTGGCCATCCTTCTTTCTTCTTCAGAGAAGTTTCTCTTTAAGTCTTTAGCCCACTTATTTATTGGGCAGTTGTTTCTTTGAGTATTTGTTGTTGGGGGATTTAATTTTTTGAGTTCCAAGTATATTTTAGATATGAGACCCTTGTCCGTTGTATGGCTAGTGAAGATCTTCTCCCAATCCATGGGCTTTCTATTGATCTTGCTAGCTATGTCCTTTGCCATGCAGAAGCTCTGCAACTTCATGCTATCCCATTTGTCCAACCTTTCTTTGATTTGTTGTGTTTCCGGGTCTCTATTAAGAAAATTTCGGCCTGCTCCAAGGAGACCTAGGGTTTCTCCTATTCCATCCTGTAATGTTTTCAGAGTGTCTGCTTTGACTCCGAGGTCTTTGATCCATTTGGAGTTGATTCTGGTTCCCCTGCCTTTTTATTTCTAGTAGTGGAGAAAACACAACTATAGTTGGCTTAGGACCAGGGCTACAAGATTTGAAACAAGCTGAGACAAGAAATTGCATTTAGCAATCTAGGTCATTCTCTTACATTTCGTATTGCCTATTTGTCTTGCTATCTATTTTTTCCTTCCTGTGTTTATAATAAGGAATTTTTTTTAGCCTTTTTCAGTTGTGCTGAAAGGGAAACTTAGCTTCCTTTATGTATTGATTATTGTTTTGTTTTTTTACTCAACATTTGAAGGAAGTATAGAATGCTCCCTTAGTCCTAGAATAAAATGTTAGTCTTGAGAAGCTCTGGAATCATAGGGTGATGTGAGAGATTTTTAGGATTACCAGAGCCTTCTCAGCACACTTGAATATCAATGTAATCATTTCTAGACTGAGCTGAAGTCTACAGCTTTGGAAAGCAGCCCACACCATTACTAGATTGGTCTAAGGATAAGAAATTTCATTCATATAACAATGTGGTAATTTGTCTTTTTGTGGCCTTTATCCAGGATATCTAGGATTCAAATCTGTAGCAATAAATAAAATGTAAATACTAGATCTTCACATGTATAACACTACGTGTCCCCTAAAAAGTGTTAGCCCAAATAATGTCATTTCCATATCTTCTACCAACCACTTAGAGATTCTATGAGGAAGTGAACTCTGAGTAGCCTCAGATTTACAAGCAAATTTACCCAATGAGCCATCATCATCTGGATCATGGCCACTGACCATCATCCTGGTGCCTGCCTGTTCCATTCTGGAGATCAAAAATGTTCATTGAAGGTTATCTAGGTTCTCAATACTCCTTAACTTACCCATGGCCTGTCTTACAAGTTTTCTTGTAGATCAGAAGCTAGTCAGTTTCCTTTCTTCTTTTCTTACTTTCTTTTTTTTTAAATAAGTTTTTTATTGTGAAAATACCGTACAGAGGGGTTACAGTTACATGAGCAAGGTAATGAGTCCATTTCTTATCAAGCATGGTTGCCTCCTCCTTTGTTTTTCCCCTACCATCCTTGCCCTCCCATTTCCACGACTATACTTCCCAACATCCCCCCACAGTGGTAAAGTTCGTTTTCGACATAACGTCTTGTACATCTCATTGTTGCAATGGGTCCCCCTGTATCCCTATTTAAACAAGTTGTTTTTTCCCTTCCCCTCCCCAAATTATACCAACATAAATACAGTGAAAAAGGGGTCATACAAAGCAACAAAGAAATCACGTTATCAGTACTGAGGACTGTACTAGGGATCTTGCCCTTGCTAGGCAGATGCTCTAGAACACATCCAGTCTTTGTTGTTGTTGTTTTATCTTTTCCTTTCTTTTTTAACCACATTTTATTGTAAAGGTGATGTACTGAGAGGTTACAATTATAGAAATCAGGTAACAAGTACATTTCTTTGGGGGCAGTGTTACCCCCTCCCTCCTTTTCTCCCAGGTTTTCCTCTCCCTCCCAGTTTTCCTTCCAGTGCAGGGTCTCACTTTATGCCTGGTGTATGCTGTGCTGTGATCCCCCTACTGAGCTTCCACATCGCTGGTGATAACAGGTATGTACCAACCATGCCCAGACACTGGTTGAGATGCAGTCTCAAGAAATTTTATCTCGTTCCCTGCCCTCTTCCGCTTGGACTATCCCCAAACCCCAAAATCCCAAGGAGCTAGGATCACAAGCTTGAGTCAACCTCACCCAACTAGAGTTTACCTCTCACAGGATTTCTGCAGTAGTTAATCTAAGAGCACAGAAAAGACTGAAAACCAGTTCCTTTCTCTATCTCTATCTCTACCACCATGCCTGGACATTTCTTTCTAGGTAATGCCTTCTTTCCCATCACACATTCAGCTCTTCATTGGCTACAAAAGACTATCCTTCAGTGAAGCTAACCTAAAGAAAAAGAAAAGCAATTTGACTGCATTTGTGCATTTATACATAATTGATCATTAATGGCCATCCCAGGTAAGTGGATACTTTAAATATATTTTTGAATCCATAACTCCAGCTGTCAAAACTGAAAACAGTTAAACAAAATGACAATTAGGAAGGAAAATACAATTTGTAAGAGCTGATACTCTTTTGTGTTTTGGAGCACTATGCTATTTGCCGGATATACATTTAAAGACATCTTTTCAAAAGTTACTTTTGCCATTCATAGCTTCTTTTTCCATAAGTGTACTTCAAAATCTACAATGTTATTTATCTATTTGCTTGTTTTTGTTCCTTTACTGGGGCTTGAAGTTAAGGCCTTGGCCTTAGCTTTTTTCATTAGCTTTTTTTCACTCAAGGCTGATGGTCTACCGGTTGAACTATCGCTCCACTAATGGCTGTTTGGTGGTTAATTGGAGGTTCATGAGTCTCACAGACTTTCTTGCCCAGGCTGATTTCAAACTTTGCTCCTCAGATCTCAGCCTCCTGAGTAGCTATGATTTCAGGGGTGAGCCTCTGTATTTTTTTCTTAAACAAGCTGTATAGAGATGGTAACATTTATATAATGAGATGTGAAAGCCAAAACACCATTTTCAATTACACTCATCAAGATGA